TTTTCCCCCGCGTGTATCTCGGAGACCCATATCTGCTTGCATCTGTGAGGTACCCGAGAACCCAAATATCTGGCTCGATCTCGGACTAGCACGTACTCGAGTCGGTGCTAGTGGTCGCCAAGGCTCGCTACCTCGAATGTAATATCCGCTGTGTTGGCTGAATTCACAGTGTCTAGCACCGCGCACACCGGTGCGCGATGGTTCACTGAACAGCATGATGTCGATATCCAGACCACGACGTCCGGAGACTCCACAGAAGTGCACTGGTAGCCCGATAGACACCTGCGGTGAGCAGCACAGTACTCAGCGGTGTGTGCTCTCGCAGCAACTGTTTGTTTCCATCGCCTACCCCACCTGCAGCCTGCCACAGATTCTGGATCCATGACGACACTGATATACACGTGCTTGTTTCCTGATTGCGATAGGAAGTAGTGGGCTCCACCGGCAGCAGCCTGGACCAGGCATAGTTGATCTCGCATGGTGTAACTCACTGGGAATCGCCTCGCCGCTTCTGGTATCCTCCCGCATGGCATGCACATGTCTGCTACATGCAGTCTTTCACGATAGAATATGCTCATTTAGACGGGGACGGCCTGATCTGTGGGACTATACGCTACACTCGTTCGGGTTCGCAGGCTTTTTCTGGAGTCCGTACAACACACGGGCATATATTTGTGCACATCCGTCCGGGCTTGGACTCGTGAATGTAGTACAGTACATACCTACATCCTCCGTTGCATATTCGGTCACCCTGCCGGGCTGAGGGTCGTCCTGGCCATCTGTGTAGCATAGGCTCTCCCCGGCGCCGCATCGATTCATGGCACATCTTGATAACTTTGGGCCTTCTGGCGTCGATCTTGTCTTTCGCGGCTCCAGTGTGTTGGTCCTGAGAATATATACTGCGATGGGAAGCGACTTGGGAGCCGCGAAAGTGTTCGTGGTGTTCCATAATCTGCCAATGTACTACGGCGCACCCACTAACTCTGAGACTGTCTTACCATGTACGTGTCTTCTAGCACACTCGACCGGCTGCTCTGCACACGATGCGGCGTTGCACGAGGTCGTCACGACTGGTCCTTTCTGCACATTGCTCAATGAGCGAGTACGATGACGACGGTACGCGCGAATTGCGAGGCGGCCGAGGTACGCGCACATCGCAAACTCGCTTCCTTCGCATTCTCGTACGATCACCCGTCGATGTAATCGCGCCTGATGCGCTAAGAACTATACACGAACACGGGGGTGTCCTCACGAGATATATTCACTGCTGCTACAGGTACAGAACGTGCATGGACGGTGAGGATAGCTGCCCGCTGGGAGGCACTATGGGCAGGACATCCTCTAGGTCACTGCCCTCTCTGCCAACCCAGTGTCCGTTTCGGCCGAGGCGGATGAGCGTGCCCTTGCCGACCCAGTGGCTAGCCCGCCGCGGCGAGGTCTGCACCCGTGCCCGCTCGAAACGAAGGCGGTCCCTGTGTGCCCGCGTACCGAGCGCCGGCCGTCCGAAGCGAATGCAACCCCAATCTACGAGTCGAGACTGGTTGGTGAAACGCGCCACGCCGCGTATCTGTGGTTCAGCCACCCGCGGCGCGTCCGTGCGTGTCCGTTCCCGCTCGCCCCGTCTCCATCGGCTGCCCGTGGCGTGCTGTGGTTGGTGCACCGTCGAGCGGGCTCGGGCTGGCCCTCCGGTCCTCTCGTAACCTCGGGGGCCGTCTGTGTAAGCAGCTGCTTCCATGCGACGGAAGTGGGCTTGGCTCCGGTGCACAGTCGGCGCACGGACCACTGTATGGTCGGAAGGGCGAGGACGGCCCTAAATCACGCCGAGTATAAGTAAGTGGTCGCATCGGACGCGGGCACGCGCATACCCCTTCTCCTGCCCTCCCACCCCCTGCACCGCTTCCTATCGTCTTCCTGCGATATCTAGGCATAAAAAAGGTATGTCAGCATCATGCAGGGCGTGCAAGATGATCACTGACCTACTCGTTCAGAGCTCTTTCCCACGTCTTGCCCGCTGTCCACAACACACGAACGGTACGTGGACAACGCGGCAGTGGCTCCTCGGTACGCGCTCTGAGGTGAGCGTTCGTTCCACAGACGACGCCGCGTGCACAGCGCGTTCGAACGCCCGTCAAGCCGTGGTCCAGCGCGCGCACACATACTGACCAGCCCTCCATAGCCCTCCGCAGTCGCCGCCGCGCGATACGCTGCGCCCACGTTCGCCTTCGGATGGTGCGGCTTTGGAGCGCGTGGGTGTGCGCCGCAAGTGCCGTCATGTCCGCTCCGCACGAAGGCGTCCAACTGACCCGGAGAGACGGCGTCATCAGTGAGTCGTCCTCGACTGTCGACGACGAGGTACTCACTGATCTGGTCCTGCAGTGCACCCCTCACGACGGCGTGTACGCATGGTACCGTGGTGCCCGCACGTTCTCGCATCGCCAGCGCCTCGGCCGCGCAATGGGGACCCTCGGGGATGGTCAGGACGCTGGGGAACACGATGGTGAGTGCCTCACTCGCGTTTGGATGGCAGTAGATGCAGACTACTCACTGTGGCCACATTTGCCGCCTGTGACTGCGTTCGTTTGCGAGCTGGACCTCCTGGGACGTGAGTGCGTCGATCCAGAACGCAGATGCGGTACGAAATACTGACCTCCCGTACACAGCGCGGACGTCGCGGAGAGGCACGTTCCCGGCGGCGCCGTGGGAGAGGGGCGCGGTGTGGAGATCGTCACCGGCGGGCCCACGGCACGGCGGGATGGAAGCGGTGCTGTAGTTGCGCGAGGCATGGGATGGCGCATTGTACATATGTATCTAGTCGGCGTAGGTCCCGGGCGCGAGTCGGGCGTAGCTGGTCGTCCTCATGGACCGCCGTGTACATTGCATCGCTAACTCTTTACAGGATCGCGGGACTCGAGCGTTGCCCTCGTCCTGGAGTCGGAAATCCCGCCTCGACGTCGTTTGCAGTCGACCGCGCGCCAAATCGTGCTCCCGAGGCCGTCTGACACAGCCCGGTGAGTGATCCGTCGCTCCGAGCCAGGCGACAACGTGACACTCACCTCTGCAGATCTTCCGCTGCCGACAGGCCGCGTTCCCGACGGTGTTCGCGCCCTCAGACTCCCGGTGCGCCCTCAGAATCCCGGTGCGCCCTCGACAGCCGCCGGCCCGCGTCGCGTGTTCCGCGCGAGCACAAGGGTGAGTGCGGCAGTACAGCCTGAGACCGTGCACACAACGGCTGACCTCCGTTGTCACCGCCAGCGCGTGGGGGCTCCGTCGACGTCGTCCGGGGGGAAGCAGCGTCGATTGATGCGTAGATACTAGGTACATAGGTCAGACGGCGCGGCGCGGCGTCGGCGTCGCGAGCGGGCAAAAGTAAGTACGTGTGCCCCGCGACGTCCCGCCGGGCCACAAAGGCGGGCGTCGGGCGCATGAGCCACGGGGAGCCGCCCGCCGCGACCAACGAGGGCGCGGCGGCGTTGTGTGGGCGCGCCAGGCGTGGAGACGAGGCGGGTGCGCGCCGCACGACGCCGAGCGCGTCGCGTGCCTAACGCGTCTGTTCCGCACCCCACGGGGCCGCCCGCACCTCGTGCACGGCGCGCCCTCTCTCTCCGGGTCCGCCGCGGCGTCCCCCAAATCGCACCTCCTCCCTGCCCCCGCACAAATCAAACTGCCCGGACGCGTCCGCACGCGACGGCGCGCGGCGCACATCGTCCCGAGGGACGTGTGCGCCGAAGCCCGCCGCGGGCGGACGTCTGCGCGGGCGGGCACGCGCGATTTTCTCGCGCCGCGCGCCACGCGCCCATGAAATGCGCCCAAACCGCCGAGATTTTTTCCTCCCCCGATCGCGTCCAGACTGCGCGTGGGGTGCGGCGGGGTGCAGTGGGAGCCGCGGGTGTAGTTTTGGGGCGTCTGGGTG